TTTTCTAATCTTTATTATTTATAAATTTATAATTGTACTTATTATTAAAATAAGTAAATAAATTTATTTTATTAATTTTATATAATAAATAATGTGTTTTAAATAAATAATACTTTTTGATTAAATTTATATTATAAAAACCAGTATTTATAATTATTTATAGAATTTTATTCTTTAATTTTAGATAATTTATAATATATTTTAATTCTAATTATAAATATTAGTAAAATATAATACTTTAAAAAGTAAATATAATATAAATACTATTCAAAATTATAATATTTAATAATATATTACTCGAAATTCTAATCTATTAAAGTTTTAAAATATTAAATTTTCTTTTATTTTAATATTTTAACATTTTTAAAATTCTAATATATTCGATATTTTTTATATTTTATTTCAATTTATAATAGTTTAATATAATTAATTATCAAATCTATATTATATTATTGTATTAAATATAAAATTGGATTTATTTATCTAATATTTCAGAAACTAATATTCTATTATAATTATAAAGTAAAATTATACATATCTGATTTACATACTAAAACAGTAATATTATATATCTTGATATTATTTTGAATTTATATAGTATTTGAAATTATCATTTAGATAATTATACTACTCTTATCACAATAATATAAAAGTTTCTTTATATTTTTTGATACAATTAAAATCTTAATTAAAAATATATTCAGATTACTCAAATAATTATAATGCTATTTATTTTATTTAAGATATTAATTAATTAAAAATTTCTTTTGTCATGAATAAATATTCAATAATGACAGATATGTGCATAAATATATTTATTCAACGATAAAATATTGACTTGTGAACAAATATTTATAATCAGAAAAAAGTTTAAACATCCTAGAATATATCAATATTAAAAATTATTCTAAATATGATAAGTAATAATGAGTATGACCAATGTTTGGTGTTGCTATCAACAAAGGCAGACTGCACTTGTAAATTGAGAGATCAATTTCAAATAATTTGGGCTAAAATATTGGATATATATTTATAAGAAAAATGAAAAAATCGCTTAAAGAGTATTTTTGAGGCTTACGAGTAAAGAAAAAGAGTTTCGAGGTTCTAAAATGGAGTTGCACTTTAAGTTGCAAGCTCAAACTAAATATCCGAAGATTTACACAAAAAATTTGATCATTTGGCATATTTAACCCAATCGGCTGGTGTTACGTCTATCATGTCATATTTTTTACACCATTCATCTTTAAGCTTCCACCACACCGCGCATATTACTTATTTCACTATCCGTACTAGGTTTAGGTACTATTATTTGCCAGGATGGTTGGTTGAGAACCATCAGTTTATTTAATTCAACAAGTTCACCATCAGTTCTGTAATTTCTCCATTAGCTGCTTGTTCAGAACAAATAACCAGGCTTACTTCTTTGCTATGTACGTTCTTATATCCCCTAAAAGCTGTTATCAAATGTCTAGAGGTATGATGTTGCCTTCGATGCCTTCACATTTTGCAGCACAAATGGGACAACGCGCAGTACAACCTTCCAAATTGTCCCATCTCGCTTCGATTGTTTCATTGCACGCCACTGAATACGTTTCTTCGACATATCAAGATGCTCTATCTGTCGTGAAGCTCGACGAACTTTTTCTCCAATTCCTTTTCGAAAATTGTGCAACATTTCCTGGGATCTTCAACAATTATTCACCAAAAACGGACGAGAACCTTTCGACATAATTGTACGCGGCTTTTCCCCGAGATTTTTCAACCATACTTTTGATACTAGACTTTGCGCCGAGAATCCACACGTTGGCAATTTCCGCAATGAGAACTGCTTCTATGTCTTTGATTTTTTTCTTAATCTCTTTAAGCTTGTTATTCACTAGTGTATTGATTGATCTTGGGATTGCTTTCTTCGTTAAGAATTTTCCGGGCAAACTTATCGAGGTCGGTGAGATATTCGCGGACGACGTTATGATTCCTGTTACGAAACTTCGCTTATTCGCCCAATGGGTCGCAGCGAACTTATTCACCCAACTTGCAAGAAATTTTCAACATCATCTTTAATTGTTGATTCATGGGCTAAAAGTCTTTCGGACACCTCCCCGAAGATGTGCTTAGTTAATTCCAAAGACAGATTGTTAGCAGAGTGATCCGATAAGAGATTATTGGAACTTGATTGGAGTTCTTCTTTTAGAGCTTCAAGTTTTTCTTTGGTTCAGAGCGCCATTATTTCAAGTTTTGTATACCTCCAGCCGCAAATATTTCTAGTAAAGATATTAATAAGAAAAATATGGTCTCATTTAAAATTAGTTAGTAACGTTGAAAAGTCCATCGCATAATCTCTGAAGCCAACTATGCGTTTGTTCATATTCGATTCGCAAAGATTTAGCCATCTTGTTTTCGCATT